ACAAACACAATTTAGTACCAGTTACTTATTTTGAGACAAGAACAGGAAAATTTGTATCTATTACGCTTATCAATCCACTAATAAGTGGAAAATAAAAATAATCAAAGGAAGAATTTGTGTGTGGACAACACACACACACACACACACAAAAACATTTCTATACATTTGATTTATACAACCTTGGTTTCATGTGTGGTCAAACCAACACATATGAACCCCAACAAGTCTGACCAAGACCCCTTAAATGATCTTTTCTTTTCTTTTTTAATGATTATTTTATTTAAGCTACACCCACACAGTCATAAAGCAACAGCAGAAGGACAATGAGTAAAGCAGTTTTCAAAATGATTGCAGCTGTAAATCTTTCTCTCGGTTATTTGGGGGAACTGCATGTTAAAATGGAAAAATTCAATAATAATCAGATCAGATGTTATACATATTACTTCCAAACTTGGCTTGCTTCCTAATAATGTCAAAGTGAGCACATGCAATAGGTACCCATCCAGGCCAATTCCCACCTAAACCAAACAGAGGCTTTCCAGTGGTGACAACAAATCCGAGGTTGACTGTCTCCTGGTGTGTTCAACACGGGACAAAGGGGAACTTCACATTGAAGCCTGAAAACGGCTCAAGTTAGCGAGTTACTACATTAATTCTTTTTGATATTTGTATTCCTTGGTCACAAATGTTATTATCATTTCATTTTTTTATACAAGTATGCATCTTGTTTTCTTTACTGCAGTGACCTCACGTTTGAAATGATTTTATTACGGCAGAGCAGTTAGACTTTGGTTTTTGGGCTCCGAGCTCACAGGTCCCCAGAAATCATGCACAAAAACTGGAGTGATCATTTTTAGAGCCTGTCGGTGGCCGTTGAGGTGTTAGAAGGGATGGATAGTGATGCAGGGCAGCGACATAAAAATTAAACAGACTGCCAATTTGTGCTGTGTTTGTTATATGGTATAAGTAGAGAGTGCCATGTTATGTGTGTGACGCAGCATAGCCCGAGCTGCCTACCTCAACTAGATAGTAGTAAGGAATAGGGGTGGGCGATATAAACGATATACAATAGAAACTATATAAATTTGGCCAACGATAGAGATTTTGACTATATCGCTCTATCGCGATAGCGCATGTTGATGATGT